TATATATATATATATATATATTCCTACAAACATTGTATTAATCAGTATATAATAATAACAGGTGATTTGAAAATATAAGATTAGACAAGCCTGGTTCTATTAGTTTTAGTAAACTGAATTCGCATTATTGACAGCTTTTGATGCTCTAACTGTAACCTCTTATACTTTATAGCCGAATTCCATGAATACCTATGGGCTTTCACAAAACTCCATCACCTGAAAATATAAGCCAAATGAGCTTCATTAACAAGACACTCGAAAATGAACAAAGCAATTATGTACGTATGTTTACAAGTAGTACCTTGCCACACATCGGACAAGTGTCGCTTCTTTCCATCCATTCATATATACAACCAAGGTGAAAATGATGAGCGCACTGTGTCACGATTTTAGGATTCTCCAAAGTATATTCTGCATGTTCGTTGACTTTGTGAATACAACAAGGCCATGAAGTCATGTAGACTGGTATGAAAGTATATTCTATCAAAGTACGTTTGGTTTGCAGACAGGATTGAATTGTAGAAGGTTTTGGGGTTTTGATTTGGTATGGGTAATTTAGTAATTTACCAATTTTGTCTCATCTATCTCATATTTGCTCCACCGATTTTGGTGGGGCAAAAAAGATGCATTTTTGTCCCAGGTAGGCTAAATGCACCCTTATCAACTTCCCCCTCACATACATCAACATCAGAACTCATCTTTTACATTTTCAATGCATGATTTGACCTGATTCTCACGTAAACAGGGGTGTATATAATAACAACCTTTTGTCCTACTCAGGGGCTGTTTGGTTGGTTTTTCAATAAAGTCCTGTATGGATAAAGTTGTTTGTATAAATTAATTTATCTGTATAGATTGAGAAGGGTTTTTTTCATAGGGGGAATGAGCATGTTTTTTAATTGGGAAGGATAGGTCGGAAAAAACTTGGCTTTCTGCAATAAATTCCCCTGCCCCCCAGAAGCTCACTGAACAAGCCACTTTCTATATCATTAAGCCACTACCAAGCAGTCATGTATAATTGACCAAATAAGCTGAGTCCATTAAGCTCATTAAACTGTTAACAGACCCTTGGTCCCTATCCTGTAGTGGGATACCAAGTTTTTCTTTTATCTTGTCCTGTTCAGTCCAGCAAACAAAACGCACCCAAAAGTATTTAATTTACCTTCGAGACATGTAGGGCAGACGTCTTCATTATCTGAAGACTGCTCATAGAGCAGCCCTTCTGGGGCTTTCACCGATAAGGACTTTTCTAAGGACTCTGGCTGACCACATTTAGAATCTTCCGTAGAATCAATACCTGATCTTCTCTTTGCAAAATCCAAAAATTCCATACCAGAACTACTCGTACTCCTTCTCAATGCTTGTGAATCCTCTTGGAAGTGAGTCATTGATTTCTCTCGTCTAGACACCAGACCACGTTGCAAACGAGTGAATCTATGCTCACTATCATAAGGCAGGGTTCTCGCGGCTGGGTGGTTTTCATCGTTCAAAGAAGTTGGAAGTGCAAAGCCAACACCCGAAGATGAAGAAGTTCCTTGGATAGGTGATGATACAGGTAGGCCTTCGATCCTCTGAAACAACGCACCATACTGCATTTTGTACCATTGCCACATCAAGAATCATTAAGAATAGAAATTTCAGATAAGCAGTTTCTTGAGTTGTGCAGACAAGAATCACTCACCCAACTCAATCAACAGAACAGTAAATGATTATCTTTTATTACTTGATTATTACTAAAAGAATGTATTAACATATTTTAGAACATTTCTACAAATAAATCCTATGAAATCCCATGAAATACCAACTATCCTCCGGGGATTTCTAAACCCAATGTTTGTAAGATTTCATTGATATCCGGAATTCCTTTAAACCAAAATGTGTGGGATTGGAACAGAATTCAATTCCAAATTTCTCCAAATCCCTCGAACCAAACAGGCCCTAAAAGATCTCCACCCTCCACTCTATGGATAGATACCAATTTCAAGAATTTGCAAAGATCAGGAATATGGGTAATTATAAGTTATGAATATGAGAAAATTATACCACCACCATCATCATCATCATCATAATCATCGATCGTGTATGTATAGAGAATAATCATTCAGAAGGCCAACACAATTAAGTCGAAGGAGATTAGAGAGAAGAATCGAGCTGTGAAGTATATTAAGCTTACCCCAGTGAATAATTGATGGAAAAAGAATCTTAAGCAGAGGCAGTGTCTGTATATGGTATTGGTGGGAAACTCTTCAAATTCATCACCACACTGACAGCAGCAAATAGAATTCATTTCTGTGATTATGGATCACAATAAGACCCCAGCAACTCAAGGATGAACTATGCACTTTATGACCCTTCTTATCCAATCAGCTAGCTTGAACCTACAATTGAACAAAAAACATAAAACAACAATACCAAGTACTGATCTTGATTGAATTTAGGCAACTGTAACAAGTTTATCCATATAATCTTGGCATCATATCTTGAAGTTGTAAACTTGTAATTATTATCTTCTGTAAGAAACATCAAAAGGGTATCTTTGATTCGACTTGCCCATCGGATATATGTCAATGATCCATGGAAGGAATGCTAACAGCAACAGAGAGAGATGGATAGAAAAAGATTCAAAATTGACCACACAGCTAACAACCATGATCAAAATCAAGAAGAAGAAAGCTAGGGTTCCTCATTTCTAAAATTACCCGTGGATCATCAGCCCAGTAGCAATCAATGGCGATAGCCTTCCAAAGAATCTGCAAATTTAAAGAAAATTAACAAGATTTATCAAGATATGTATATATAAATGTTTACTGAGGGAAGTTTCGAGAGGAGAAGAGAGAAATATATGATGTTCCCCACAATCAACCAACTTATTACTGTTCTAGTTGGGAGATACAGACGGACTTTTGTTGGTGGAAAACAATTAAAAAGACGACTTTGCCCTTCATATTCTTTTTAAAACCCACTATTGCCCCTTCCCCACCCCTTTTCCCATATTGCCGTGTGTCTCTCTGTTTTGCATAGAACAATCGAGATTTGCCCTCCTCGCAGTTTCGCCGGCGGTGTTTCTCCGACAACTTCCGCATTCTAGTAACGATTTCGGCTTCCGTGAAGGCAATTCATCGGTATCTTCTTCACCGATTCCTTCTCCCCCATTTGATTTCTCTCATTATGGTATTTTTCCTCCAATTCCCATATCACCAAACCAATGTCGAATCTCTTTTTATGAAATTTAGGGTTTTTGTTCTAATATAGAAAACAAAAAATCGTTGCTTGTGGTTATGAACAGCCATTACTGACCTTCTTCCATTATCCAATTGCAGTGGAAATGTCGGTATACGAGAACGTTGTTGCAGGAAAGCTGAAATTAAAGGGTAAAGCCCTTGATGTGAAACCTGGTGGAATCAAAAAGAAGAAGAAGAAGAAGAAGATGATGATCATAGATATATCTGATCAAATAACTCAAACACTCGAGAATGAGATCTCTGAAGGTTATGTAATCCATCGTACTTCTTGATTAAAGATTCACTGGATCTGTTGCAATTTCTGATCTCATCATTGTAATCTGTGGATGTTGGTGGAACGATTGAGGAAGATCGAAAGGATGGGAACAAATCGAAAGGTGGTTGTTATATGGATCATCTGACTCCAGCAGAGAGACGTTACATGGAACAGAGGCAGAAAATAGACATGCAGAAGATGGCAAAGACATCGAACAAGTCTCATCGTGATCGGATTTCGGAGTTCAATCAGTATCTTGCGAACATGAGTGAACACTATGACATTCCAAAAGTTGGTCCTGGCTAAGCCCTAACCCTAACCAACCGTGAACGAGTTGACTTGAGTTGAGTTGAGTTTTTAATGTTTTGCAAGGACTGATAATCTGTAAAAGGGCATAACAATCTATTTTAATGGTCAAGGATGTTATTCTTATCTAGTAAGAAAACTGTTAATCGGTTAATGCATATCAAATAAGAAACACTTACATACAATTTGTTTTAATGGTCAAGAATGTTGTCCGATAAGGTAAGTGAGAATGATCACTCTTGCAAGTAAACTTTGGATAAACGACCGATTCAGTGTTTAGTTACTTGAAAAGAGGCGAAAGATGTCTGATAAACAACCTTTAAGGGGTTGTTTGGTTCACGGAATTTGATGGAATTGGAATGACAAATTCTTTTGACCAAATTTCAATTCTTTTGTTTGGTTCATTTCTTGAAATGGATGGAATCCTTCAAATTTCATTGAATTCCACAAGTTAATGAATTCATCATTCCTTGGCATAATGGAAGGAATTGAATTCCATCACCACCCACCACGATCATGCTACTATTGTTCATGATGCCCCCACACTTAACCCCCACCACTAATGTCGCTGCCACCCACCCTAACCATTATGCCATTACTGTTGTCATCATAGCTACCACCCCGCCACCTACCCCTACCCACCCCACCGTCCTACCTTGCCCCCACCCTACCTTACCCTATTCTAACCCATCACTAACTACCATCCTACCACTGTAGTCATCACAACTATCACACTGTCACCTATTGCCCCACTCTGGCTTCACCCCCACTGTCTCGCCCACCCCTACCTGCCCGCAACAATCCCCGCCTATGGAGTAGGGTAGGGCAAAAGTGGTGGGGGCAGGGCGGGTGATAGTTGTGACGACGACATTAGTGACATGGTGGCTGGTATGGTGTGGGCGGGGAGATGGATGGGATAGTCCATACAAAGATGATTGTTCCAATTTTGTTGAGAGATTTCATTCCAATTCCTACCAACCAAACGCATGGTCAAATTCCATCAAATTACATTCTAATTCCTTCAAAGTCAAATTCCTTTTATGAATTCCAATTCTATCAAATTCCATTATGCGAACCAAACACCCCCTAAGAGTCATTTTGGTTTGCAAAATTGCTTTTGAAAGATTTGTATTTTATGGAGAGATTTCGATTTGGAGGGATTTAGATTAGAATGGATTTGAAATCATTGGTGTGTTTGGTTTGTAGAATTTGGAACGAAATTGGATTCTATTATTTATATTAAAAAAACTACAAATAATTATAAAAATAATTAAATTACATTTTTATTAATCGATTATTACAAAACAAATGTTTGTAACATTTTTTAGAACCTTATTTCATACAATTATATAAAATATCATGAAATTCCGAACACCCCCTAGGAATTTTAAAATCCTATATTTATAGAATTTCAATTAAATCTTAAGATTTCAAATCCAAATAATCCAACAAACCAAACATAAAATTAGGACCAATTCGAAATCCAAATCTCTCGTCAAACCAAACCAAACCTAAGTTGAAATTAGAATCTCTCCGTAACCTTGTGGTTCCAAACTTGGATGGTGATCAACGTAAAAAGACGGTTTTGCCCATTAGTCCTAAAACAGCATAAAGGATGTTTTATGTAATAGGGTTATTAGGGCACCTTCAATAAGTATTTACTAATTATTCACAATGTTCTTGAACTTTAAAGCTATTCATTATGAATAATTCACGAAAGAGTCCATATTTATGGTTCTATCCACCCCAATCTACAAACCACTAGGTCTAGCACAATTTAACATTTAGCAGAAAAAGAGAAGCCATAGGTTTACTTGGGTGAATCCGAAATGACCAAAAACATAATTGTACAAATGTTCCTCTAAATTTTTCTCTTTCTGTGTAGGTAAACCTCCTAGATGTACTTCAATCCTGACATATATTGTTGTCTGGATATTAGATATTGGGTCAAGGAATATATAATTCCTAACAGCCCCAATATCCTGATCTTCACCACATCTGTTATTATGCATGATGGCATATTAAGCGGTATCGTAAGCAACGGCATCGAGTCGTTCCTCTTCGTGTAACTCCACACAAATTGGTTAAACATGATGTGGCTCGGGAACGTTAGAATCAAAAGCGCCAAATTTTTTACCGCAAAAAACCAATCGGGACCTCCGATTTGCATCCCCCAACCCACGTTACCTTGCCATATCTCTTCCCATATGCTGTAAACCGAAGTCAATACCAGATAACCTGATATCACTACTGTCACCGGGAAATACCGCTGCTTATCCCCAAATCCAGCGACAAAATCTGAATCCTGGTTAAGCAGCAAAAGTATTGGCGCCAAGAAGAATATTGCACGGTTGGACCCGCCTGTAAGATTTACGTTCAGTATGAGGCATATGGCAAAACACATGATGGTTGCAACATTTCCTACGGCTGGCATCCATGCCCCCTCTGCAGCTATCCGTTTGATTGTAAACGCCGGCACGGTAGACACTCGGCGTTGCTGCATGAACCTCATCTTAGGAGGGAAAGTAGCAAGCGAGTTGCTGCTTTGACCGGATTGACTATGTCGAAGACCACCCCTCTCGGTGGCCTTTTCGCGCATGAGTGAGGCCAGCTCGAACTTAATCTCGAGTGCTATAAGCATAAAAATGGCTGCATACAAGCCAAGTAGAGAAGTTCTTGCCCCCTCGACTGCCAACAATGCGGTCAGCTTACTGTCTTCCTCACCCACATCCCCGACTCCACTTTCTGCAAGGATGGTTTTGATCCGCACCTGACCCTCCAACAGATATGTCACCGGAAATAGAGCCACAAGCAAAGCAAACACCCAAGGTAGGAGTTTTGTGCTTGAGGCAGAGGGGAGATGTGTGAATACCACAAATACAGAGGTGCAAACCATCGTCACGACTATAAGGATATGTAAAACTGTTGCCTGAAGGAAGTATTCGGCAGATATATAAACACCAAGAGCGATTCCCATGGCAATGGAGAAAATCATCCTTAGCTCGACTATGTACTTGATCGGGATGATGGAGGTCACTGCAGCAAGTGAGAGTAGAATTGCGGAGATCAGCAGCCATGATGGCCAAGTAGGCTTTGATGTGATAAAGCCATAAATTGAGATGTCATCAGATGATTGACGAGCAGCTTTAATCAACTCGGAATGGTATGTCCAAGATGATGGGAGTGGCGGCTGCATGATTATAAAAAGAAGACCAGTTGCTATAACGAGTACTAAGCTTCTTTTGGCAGACTGCATACAGAAAAGTAGGAAACCAGTTAGGTCAGCAAAGAAGACAAGACCATTAAAAAAAAATAGAACAGATATAGATTTTCTGTAAAGAATGTGTAATTTTCATCTGGGATGCTACATTTGAAAAAGCTTGCCAATTTAATCAGCATATGCAAAACGAATGTAAGTTGATTGCTTCTAAACAAGAGGTGATTAGAAAGAAGATATAGTTCAATGAACTGTATGTCTCTTGTGCTAGGGATCATATCACTGCAAAACAGGATAGGTCTACGAAGTAAAAGTACAGAAATCCCGATCCATGGTCCGTGTTCCTACCCTAGACGGAGAAAACATAAAACCAAACGAACACAGTATATCCCACCTGAAGGTGGGATCTGGGGAGGGTGAGATGTACTCGGACCTAACCTCCACCCAGACCGTAGAGTGGTTGTTTCCATGAAGATCCCCGGCTAGTGCAGAGTGTGGAAAAAAAGAGATACAGATTAAATTGCGGAAAAAGAACATAAGAAAAACATTTGAAACAATAAAGGCGGTGCTAAATTTGAAAAAGGAGTTGGAAATAAGCAACCAAAAATCATACAAAGGGAAGCAGGTACACGAAAGCGTAACCAAGATCGGAAGGAGATATTCTTTACCATGACATGAGAAAAGTGAAGGGCAACAATTGGTACACAAGCCAATCCTGTCAAGAGGATACAGAATCCCAAAAGTAAACCGCCTGATGGAGATCTACCGTTCCACCATTGCAAAGCTTCAAAAATTGTTTCACGACAAAACCAGACTGACAAAGCAAAAACTGCAGCATGTGCATAACCTTGCCAAGGCTTCATCTTCGAGGCTGTTCTTGATCGATCTCTGCAAACAAAACAAGTTAAACTTGTAAATCAAATGTCTAAAATAATTGAGAATCGAGTCATGAGCAACGAAAGGTCAGGCCAATACTTGTATAGAAGCAATGGAGGAGATACAGCCAATAAAAGAACGGCAGAAGCCCATAGAGCTGCCTTTGATGTCATAAACAACATTGCCAGCTTTGATGAATACAAGCAAGTTAGTACCCAAACTGCTTTTGGTCCAATGCGGTGATCCACAGAAAGTCTTCTCACAAGGGCCAATCCCACAAAAGTTGTTAGAACCACCATATAACTTGGATACATTACCTCATCATCGAAACTATAGTAATATATGCCAGAGAAAGTATAAAAACGATTCTCGATGTAGCACAGCAGCAATGCATGACCAATCAAACCAACCTCTGTTAAGTAATGAAGCTTTTGAGGAAGAAGAGCCAACCCAGGAACAACCATGGCCAATATGACATCAGCAACTATAAGCTTACAGAAGGATTTCAAAGACATGCCTGCCAGCCAAATATTGAGATCCCAGAAATTATGCAGTACAAACCATGTGACCATCAAGCTCCCAAGCACCACAAAGGCAAAATATGATGTGAGGCTCTTCTTTGTGAAAAAACGAGCCAAGTAGAATCCAGCTACTGAAGGGAGTGGAAGGAACTGCAACAGTGTAATGAAAAATCAATAACAATTTTTTCATACCAACAACTACCAGACTTCTTTTGTATTATCAAAGTTGAGTTTCATTTTAGCCTGCCCAACTATTTTGGGATATGAGGCTTGTTGATGAACTACATCTAACAGGATTTAAGGTGTGTATGAAGTCAACACACACGCGCACACATATATATGTGTGTCGATTGCAAGGTCACAGGTGCGTGATACATGGACACTGTGATTTAATGAGTTCTTAAGAATAGGGAGACATCAGGTGCGTTCATATACATACTACATGTAGTCTAAAAGCAAGCAAATATAAGAAATAAGCTCTTTAAAGCTAATACATCACATACTTATAGATCAAAAGTGAACTCGGTTTCAGGCTGAAGGTAATATAAATTAAAAAAAAATACAGATAGCAATGTGTTCAAAGAGAGTAGCACACATTATATACAGCACAAAACATACAGACATCATATTAAATATTAAGCATGCATATGTTCTTGGGAAGAGAATCTTTTGTATCGCCTGGCCTCTTTTCTCAGGCACAAAACGCAAGTTGTATTTTTAGTTGTACCCCTAACTCCTGATGGTGTGACTTTGTAATTTTGATCTCTCCCAGCTCTTCTGAAAAAAAGACCAAAATTGCCCCTCTCATATCCCCATTTTTGTAGCCAGCAATATGGGTCAAAATAGTGACTCATGCGAACCCTGCTGTGCCCCTGAACAACTGCACCCATGAAGCACCAATTATAGGATTCAGCAAGTGGTAAAAGCCCCCCTTCTTCCAAGTATATATCAATAATATTGATAGAATCTAGCTATTGAAGGGAGGGTAAGGAACTGCAACCGAGTAATAAAATATCATAACCAACACATTTTTTTCTACAAGAGTGACTGTTAGAAATATGTTGTAGCATCAAAATTCGGTGTCATTTTCCGACTAGCCCAACAACATTGAGATAATAGACTTGTGATGAGATGAATGAATCTGAGGATTCCTACAAAGTCAAAACCCAAATCAACAGTAGCATACATCGATGGAACGTCCATTTTCCCCAACTTTGGGTAAAGTAAACACCCAACACAACCTTACAGAGGGTACAGTTTCCACAAAGGCCACACCCTAACACACTTTACATTTACATCTTCCTTAATCCCAGCAAAGTACATACATTTCTCTTATCTCCTTGTCTTGTCACTATTATCATATCAACACCAAAGAGAGAGAGAGAGAGAGAGAGAGAGATGGGTTTGAGAGGAAATGAAGGAAAACGACATGAAAGAGTGGTGGTATGAATGGAACTTTGAAAGAACTGATTCGTTTTCCTTCAGAAACCAACAATCTCAATCCCCACCCCCAAATATTGACACAATGTAGACATAGATGTAAAGGAATATTTAATTGGTAGTAAAAAGTGTGTAAGACATGGCATGTGTCCTATGGGATATCATGAATATTTTTAGCGAGCATATACAAGAAGTGTACTTACTAATGCTTAACAATCACCAAATATTTCGGAAACCACTGAAATAGATGTATCATTCAACCCTACATTGCATACATAGGATCCCATACTCAACACATCATACGCTAGCTGATTAGACGCTTCCCACTCCTCTAGCCTTACATCATTTATTTGAAGTGGAAGGAAGAAAGAAATGCTAAACAAGGCCTCAGAATGACGAAAAAAATATTCTGTCTTAGCAGGCGACGTTGCAGTCCAAAGGTTGTGACCCATTTTTCTTTTTTTGTATGAGCACCCTGTTACAAAGTGGGCTCCTTGCGGACTATTACTCCATCAGGTGCACTTTATTAGCAGGAACAAGCTTTACCTTGTAATTGATCTATACATGCCTAAAAACTGACCGACTACCTTGTAAATTGAGAGTATGTAAATCTTAAAGACAATCACCACATCACTGCAAAACAATGACTTCAAGACCAGCATACAAAGACATTTCCTTTTATACTTGTTAATGCACATTTAGAGACAGCAAGCTAACTTTGTCTAGTATTCTAGTTCTTAGCAGCCTTTAGCTCCTTTTACAGTCTCCAACCAACGAGTACCTATACTGCCCTTTAATACATAGTCGAGTAAAATTGCTATATTTAACTTGTTAAACCATACTTTGGATCTAAGTTAAACACATTTAATTTGAGCAAGTATGCTAAAAGATTTTGAACTTATTTGTGGCAGACTAGCAATGACAATCTGAAAAAAAGTAAGCAAAATTCAACCATGCACTTGATACATGTAGGAGTTCATCATGCACTCTATGATAAATTGATAAGCACACTGGGAATAACCACACATGGCATCATATCCCTTTTTCAGCCTCTGCACTTGAAGAGGATGCAAAGTTTTTAACAACTTATGCAACACCTAAGTCATGCCATATGATATCGTTAGATATGAAAATCTATAGTTTCTGTAACATCCAAAAACTTCACAAACTTAAGAATGGAACGGTATTGGTTTCAAACAGTTCTTTTACAACATTGGATGATGACCTCAGTCTGCTTTTCGCTCTTCCTCTCTCTTCTTTCCACCATTGCCCTTCCATGTTATTTCAGTAGTTTAAGGTATGCTGAATTTCACTCCATCAAGATAAGAACTAAAATTTGATCGCATATCTAATTGTAATTTATAGGGACTGATGTTATATCTTATTTTATTGATCTCCCAATTTGATATCCAAAGGCCCTACTTTAATCCTTGCATCATTAAGCATGCTTAGACTACCTTCTTTTTGGTCAATACCTAGCTCTAAATTAAAACTCTGCAAGGTCTACCATTGTGCAAGTAGCTATTTGCAATTAATATGATAGTATACATAAACACCACCTTCTAGGTCTACCTAAAATCTACCTGATAGTTTACTTTATTCAAGCCTACCACATGAAATATTGCATTACTAACATTCATAATCGTCTTCCACACTGGTTTGCCTGATCTAATTTATCCCTTCTTTCTTGTTTACGAAGGAAAGGGAGGGAAAGAGAAGGAAAGGAGGGGGAAAGAAAAAATCTCACGTTCTAGAGTTTTTTTAGGAAGGAAAGGAAAAAAAGGCTGATTTTCCTCCCAAATATGGGACGAATGAAGGACATGAAAGAAATAAAAAAACAATTAATAATATTTATAAATTACATATCTACGCATCAATTACAATCCATTGTAAAATAAATAAAGGTGTATTTGTAAAATTGACATCTTTCCCTTCCTTTCTCTCCTGCTAAAAAACATGAAACTTTGTTTTCTTTCCTTCCCTTCCCTTGCCTTTCTTTTCTTCGCTCTCAAGAACACAAATAAAAAAACATTCTTTCTTTTCCTTTCCTTTCTTTCCCTTCACTTCCTTTTCTTTTCTTTTCTTCTTAAATTCAAGAACACAGCGTTAAAGATGATACCTCAATTTTTAGACTCTTATTGATTGTAGTACCCTACTCTGCCTCTAATCCTATCTTTCCTTGATCTCTCAATTTCATTCAACTTTCACTTATTCCCATTTCTTGACCATGTGAAAAATTGCAATACTCACTCTATTGCAGCTACATGTCAAGCCCTCTCAAAGACTTTCCTCGGTTATTTCAATAAACTTGGCAAGCCAAGTTTTGAGGGAACCGGGGAAAGGCAATTAGTAGTTAAGATCAAGTTTCTTGCAATTTTCATGTTAATGCCTACATCCTAACTGTAACAATTGTCTCCTACTATTTTGGGACTTGTTTCATTACCACCCCCTTACATCTCTTGAAGTTCAAATAAAAATACCCAAAATTGTGCATTGACCTAGCACATCATAGAAAGTTACGGATCATTTCCCAAAACGCAACATGTCTATATCCACTACACGTCACGAAGTATAGTGTCAATAAGCACATGAGTTCACCATGAAGGTTAGCTCCCAACAAAATTTCAAACTTATGGAGAAGAAAGGGATTAATTTATACCATCTTTCTCATGGATGGTTATGCCTCTTATCATGTCAGCTATATTCCATGTTGACTATCGATCCTTAATTCATTCAACTTTAAATAAAATGGACCAAAGGAATCCAATTGATCTCAAAGTATTTTGATTGTAAATAAAAAAAATGAGAGCCTTCTAATTAGTTGTTCCTTAATAGTCATTATTGCCTTTTGTTGTGCTGGTAGAATTGGCAATTGTCAGAGATGCAAGAAAATTATTTCTAACCAAAAAATAATGTCATGAATAGTAATGACTTGCAAGTTGCAAAAACTAAAAGTACTTGAGAAGATCACACCAAGCTTGGAACCAATTTTTTATTGAACACCACAGAAAAAAGCACTTGAGGGAACTGCCCGAAGAACTTGGCCCATGGAGCCAGTTCCTCATCTTAACCACCTTTGCATCAAGTATACAAACAATATAACGACCAACTCAATCACGATGTACCTACAGCAGTCAGATTGTCATATATGAGAAAAGATAAGTACGCAGAAAGTGCAGCATCCCAACCTAAACACATCCTGCTATTAAAAAACAGCCCTTGTTTGTTGGCCTCTTTGTGACCAGTTAACCACTGAATGGCTTAATTGCTTATTTAACGACTGTTCATTTCTTAATCTAAATGAACCATAACGGGTTCTTTTTTCTCTTAACAATTCATATATACCGGTATGTCTTGACCATTCAGAACTCTTTAACCATTCAAACTTATCATTCAGTTTTATAAAAAAAAACACCTTACTCTTGATTAGCTTCATGTTAATTTTGCAACGAATCCAGACCTTGCCCTTTGGCAAACATGAGAAGCGATCGCACATAACATTTTTCGGGCAACTTTTAATGGACACACTTGTAGGAAGTATGTTAGAATTGAGATAATATTGCTACTTCTAATAGATAAGTTAATAAAGCTTTGTGGTTTTGAGGAGTAATTACGAGTAAGAAAAATTGTCTACATTGAGCATTTCATATTATGATATATCTAAATAATATTCGTCCAACCACATATTAAAACCAAAAAAAAAAAACTTAAATTGCTAAAGTTGAAGTTCGAGTTTACAACGTTTGGGAATGGACGCAATCCACCATTCTCATAAAGGTTTAAGATGTTTTCAAGTGAACAGAAAAGGTCAATGCATGTTCCAAAACAAGCTCCATAGCAAAAGGGTCTCTAAAGGCAGGGATGGAACAGATTTACTCGTTAGGTAGTGGTGGCACAGGCCACCATTAATTTATTCTGTCATAGTGTAAAAAAAATTACGACCCTTAAAGGTGATACCCCTGTGATTCATTTTGTGCTACCCCTATATTGAGAGGCTACAATAACATATCGAAACTCAGATTTGAGTTTAAATGGTTAATAATGAGGGAACACAAAACCATTCGATAAATCATTGAAATTGAAGCTCATTTCTTAGTGATTGTATTGTAATTTGTAACTATACTAAAATTTTATTTTATAATTAATTTTTTTATTTCATATCACGGTAATTATTTTGTGATACCACTAAAAAAATCTGGATTTGCCTATGCTAAAGGGAAGACAAAGGTTCAAAAGGGAACCATCGTTACCATCTTAAAGGATGGTTTAATGTTCTATGAAAACATGATACCAACCCTACATACCCTTGTTCCTTGTAATATGCACACATGATATACCACCATTATCTACACCTAACCTGAACAACTAATAAGTAGTATAGTAATGAGCCTCCCACTACCGCTCACCTTTGATAAATTGATAAAAATAGTAAAATCAAACACCATTGATGAATTGCTACAATAGTAAAATATATAGGCTAATACTAGTTGAGGATAAGGTTTTCTTTCTTATAAAACAAAAGGTCCCAATAACGGGACGGTGGGTAAAGGAACCTTCCAAGTTCCTACCATGCCTAGTAATGGTTACATCAATATTAAAAGTTACTTTACACAATTTCCAACCCCCTTGGATGTCCAAGTCCTTTCACCCAAAAATTGAGAATATCAACAGAAATAATAGACAGATTAGACTATCCTCATGTTTGTATCAGCCAACTTTTGGGCTTCCCGTTAGTAGTGTTCTAAAAAGCTTTGATGAAACTATGTTCCCATTCATCTTATTGTTCTTGGATGTTTCAAGTGGATTTGCAAGCCAGCACTTGAGCACACACCAAATGCACCCATTATAATATCGTTTATTATATGTGAATTAAATTATAGTCAACTTCTGTGTTGATAAATTTATCAAAATTACATATGCAAGTAAGCACTTGAACATTATCAAAGTTAAAATTTTGATAATGCCAATCATTAGTATAGTAGGACCAAAATCAGCCTTGCATCAAAGATGACGTGTAAATCAAACTATCTTTGTAACTAGATAACTATTGTTTCACTATCAGGCTTGTGGAAGAAAACCACGAACTGGCTAATACTTTTAGCTAGCAAATTGTTGTATTACAGTTTCCTACGTAGCCTGGTTTGAGTAGGATTGGGGGAAAAATATCCAGAGTTGAAACTAATCTAAGGTAATTGGTTGGGTTATTGTTGGTTTAGCTTGGATTTGGTCCAAGATCACAGACCTATGAAAAAAAAAAGAGGGGGGGGGGGGGGGGGGTTGCCTATATGTTAATCCACTTAGCCTCTTCTTCACGTTTGGTCCACTTAATTCGTTTAAACCCACTTTATCACCACTTAACATAACACTTGTTAACTAGCCATTTGGTAGAAAATTAAAGGATTGGCAGCTCAATTCTTATACTAGAGCAATGCCCATTGTTAGGTAAAAAAGACGACCCAACTTACTTTCCAAACATGCTTAATGACCAATGAAAAGTTATAAGATAAGGCACGAGTTTTAAAATAAAAAAATTGCAGTTGAAAACGAGGGGCATGCCAACACCCGAAATATAACCTTGAGATGGAAAAATAGCAGTTGATTGAGAAAGGCATACCAGCAGGGGGAATCCCACAACGATTGCTCCAGCAGCGCTCACAAAGACGGCCAAACCAGTGAAAGCCAATGAACTGGAAGCATCAGCAATCATACCCATTTCATATGCACCAGCACCAGCAGCCCCTCCTAGCATTGTCGCCGTGACCAGAAGATAATTCAAAGGCCAGGGAACCTGAATGTACCGCGCAAAGGAATGGAAAACAACCCTGACCTCCAAGCATATTACAACAATGACCAAAGCAACAGCACCATTCACTAGTCGGATACTCCGCAGTTGGTGTTCACTCTTGGTGACCCACCAAAGAGCCCCCCTCGTGGAGGCATATAGTTGAAACAAAAAAGGAATGAAAAAAAGAAGGAACAAGTCACAAACTGTAGAAGCGGATGAAAATACAATCGAATAGTGAGATGCAATGTGAAACATCAGAGGGAAGAACAAGAGGTTCAACGTGTGTAAGCAGCTCTCGAGCTGGCCAAGGATTAAATTATCATCAGGAACTTCTCCTCCATGGTAACTCACTTCTTGCTTCAATTTAAAGGATGAAACGCGAGGAATGGAGTATAGCCAGTAGAAAATACAGTTAAACGTCATGTGATAGTAGGAGGCATTCACCATACCAACTGCAGACACAGTTGCCCAGCTGAAAAGGACCGAAGCTATGTAGGGGATGCAGGCAAAGAGAAGACGCTCCAGAGCGAGGACGATGGTTGGATATTCGATTTGAATCCACTTAAACTGAAGAGACGCCCAAACGCCGATCAAGAAATTAGCCAGGGCGCATACAAAACAGGCAAGGAGACCAAGAGGGATCGAATTGAAGGTCAGAAACAGAGACGAACTAAAGAAGAAAGTGATCTGTGCAGATATGAGAGAAAACCAAACGGCGAAAAAGGAACCAGACTTGAAGTTGAGTGAGTCGAGAATGTAAGCGATCATAAGGCCTAGGGTTAGGGCGGCAACGACTGGAGTTCCACCGAGGTCGAGGAGAAAAGCAGCGCATGGGACAAGCGCGATAGCGATCCTAGCGTTGTGTACGAAAGATGAGGGAGCGAAGCGAGAGTTTTTGAGAGATCGGCGAGTATTGGTGCTGCCGTTGGCGTAAACAGGGCTAGGGTTCCGTTCAGGAGAGTAGCCATTGTTGAAGGTGGTAGGGAAGTTTGGGGCGCTCATGGATGGGGAGATGTAGGGACGATAAGAACGAGGTTGAAGCTCCGGCGGCAACATTTCTGCCGGGAAAAGGGAAATCGGATCTGTAAGGAGTGGAGCTGAGCCGGAAAGTGAAAAGAGTAGTAGGTTTGATCTCAGAGGGGGTTGGGTGACGTGTTTGCGAGCCTCACCACCGTTGGATTGTATTCACTGGACCCACCCTCTTTCTATCAATCAAAACCACGTCCATTTGTTGACTTTCCTGTAATTTTTTGCTTAATTGACCATTGACGAATGCCAAATCTCATACAAAAATGTTTTATTTTATGTAATCGCATAGTACAGCGAGATACATTTCGACTTAAATGTTTCGTTTATTTCTTCGTTATTATAATACAATTTTATATGGTTTTAAAAAAACGATAATGTTTTTACGTTTGCATAAGATATAAATATAAAGATATCATAAGAATTTGAAAAAAATATATTGATATTCATATCAAACTAACTATTTAAAATTTCTATTTTTTTTGTGTAATTTTTATAATTTGATTTAGGTTTGATAACGAAGTAATTTAATTTAGATTTAATAATATAATTTTTTATAAAGATAATAATTAAGTTATGTTAAAACTTAATGGTTATCCTAATTTGATTTTAAATATTTTATATTTAAAATGAGATGTTTATCATGTATTATATTATGTTTATCTGTAATTAGTTACACGAATTCAAACATGAAGTTTTAACAAATTGTACTTACAACCAATTTACTTGTAATCTTGAATTTTAATTAATCTGCATCAATAAACAGTACTTTGTGAACCCTCTGTTTTCGCGCAATGAGATATTTTTCCCCATATTTTCCAAGCCCCAACACATAGTAACTTACAAAGAATATATTGGACCAAAATTCAACCTTAGATAACTAAATTAACTGTGACAATCAAACGAGAAAAAATACGAAGTCGGTAACTAAATAGAACAAAAACAAATGTTTATTCGAATAAAATTATATACAAAATAAATATAATATGTTCTACACATATGTTGATGTTTAACGATATTATTGTAGTTTAAATGATTTTTTTCCTCGTCTATCTATTACCATTTTCATTACACGTTCTTTTAATAAGAGTTATATGATTTGGATAATTACCCGTCTTGTTACCCGTTACTTAAATTGGATTAGGTAATAACCCTTACCTATCCATACCTCACTCCTTGGTAGTCTTAAACCCAACTGATCCCATAGGTAGCGTTTTGGTATGCAGACATAATTGGACAGAAATGGACATGACAAGAGGGTAGTACTGGACATGACAGGAGACGAGATAGGACTTACGAAACCCGCCTCTCAAGATACCAATATGTGGGAACATTTTTTGTAACGGGGTACTTGAGATTGAACCTAGGGGTGCTCAAAAACCCGACCAACCCGATCAATCCAACCCAACCCAACCCAACGCGAAATAACCCAACTCAAAGCAACCCGATGTCTAATCGAGTTGTAAAATTGTCAAACCGTAGGTATTGGGTTGCTATTATTTGAACTCAATCCAACCCGATGAACCCGATATTCTTTTATTTATTGGATTTAATATGATTGTTGAATTTCTATTAATATATACACCAGACAATTACACTATCATGTATGTTTTTCATATACACATATTTTCAATCTATTCACATCTCTATATAACTAATTCATATATGTTCAATAACTGTGAACATATATTAAATTGAGAAAATAAACTGAATGCAATATACGTAAGAACTATTGATAAGTTGTATCAAATGGTTGATGATGAAAAAGAAATTATGAGTAGAGAAATAACATATTCAAGGTAAGAAGAATATTTTAATGTACCAAAATATCAACCCGACCAACCCGTACGAGTTGGGTTGGGTTGGGTTGTATTAAGATTTTTTAAACCGCAAGCATTTGATTGAGTTGTTCAAATGTCTTCAACCCGATCAACCCAACCCATAAACACCCCTAATTGAACCCATGACCTATCTTGTATTTAATCAAAGTCACTCATCCATTTGTTAACTAAACTACACGTTAAAAGCTAAAAAAATATTACTCAATGAAATGCAAAATAAAATAAAATAAAATAAAAAAATGTTATTATTATTTTTTTTTATAAAATCTCCACTTAAAAATGGGTACGGTTTTTTAGAGAAGGCATGGCGGATGGGCTTTAATTCTAATGGGCCTGTGTCGGTTTCTGTTGGTACATCTCCCCTCTCTCAAATGGTTGGCATGCATTCAGTTTGCCTAGGGTTTGTTTAGGGTTTTTTTCTGTGTGCAGCTGCTTCTTTCGCCATCATCCGTCGTTACATCTCCAAACAAGATGGTGAGTTCTTCGTTAGATGATCTTATCAACCATGATTGATTCATAATCCTTCTTTGAATGCAATTTCTATATGTATTTTGCTTCTTTTGATTCATGCGGATTACGTTTATATGATTTGTTGAATGATACAACCGATCTACTGACCATTACAGGTTTTGCCAAACGATGTTGATCTGCTTAATCCACCAGCTGAGTTGGAGAAGAGGAAGCATAAGCTCAAGCGTCTTGTCCAGTCTCCAAACTCTTTCTTCATGGTATCCTTCTCGTTTCTTCACTTCGTCTTCTACAGTTTTGAATTTTTCATGTTATTTTTTACGTATTAACGAATATCTGTTTAGTTTTTCGCCTAACAAAACCCTAGTTTGATGAAACTTTGCTCTAATTTTGTTCAATTCCATCGATGCAGGACGTGAAGTGCCAAGGTTGTTTCAACATGTGAGTATTCGTATACAATTAAATTTTCATTCAGTGTTTTGCATTTCATCTTCTCTTCCATTTCTCTAATTTTACATGTTTGTAATAACAGAACAACTGTATTTAGCCACTCTCAAACGGTGGTGGTATGTGGGAACTGCCAGACCGTGTTATGCCAGCCGACCGGTGGCCGTGCTAGGCTCACCGAAGGTTGCTCTTTCCGGAGGAAGGGCGACTGATCCAAGGGAATCCATTTTGCTGCAATTATTATGGTGTTTTGCCTAATCAGAAGCTGTCTCCGTTACAAATTGCAAGTTGAGTCTCTTATGCTTAGCGTTTTACTGTTTCTTCCTTATGGGAACACAAACATCATGTTAGTTTTGATAACGTTGATTCCACCCCCCTGTAATGGCTGAAGTTTTGTTTTTTTTTAATATTATCTATGGATGCATGTTTTGACTACTTCTTCAACATATACCTTTTGGCATTTCATTGCATTTGTCACTATATCTTTTTATGGGTTCATTTGGGCAAAAGTTAATTACCGGCAATCTCAACTGCCCCACTCGGAACCCACCTCCGCCTCCCCTTCCCCCTCCAAAGACACCAATGTGAAGTGGCATTTTTGGCTCACCCAGTCAGAGGCCAGCGGAGGGTCTGGGATGAACGTAGGATCTATCTTATATTTGGACAAAGTCATCTCATCCTTTTGCCAATTGAGTTACACGGCAGAGGCTTCTGGTTCATTGCGAATAATATGGCAATGATGATTGATGAACACCTTGTGGTTGGATTTCATCAAAAGTTTGCAATTTTTCCTTCAAATATTTACTAATTAGATGGATCCTATGATGTGTTTATTTTGGCCATTTTTGTGTTTTTTGCTTGTTGATTGATTCATGTGGTTTGTGAGAACGTTGGATTGAATACAAAGGGAATTCTTGAACATGTTTGAGTGCTACTTCGTAGGAAAAAACATGAATGTGACGTGCAAAGTGCAACTCGACCAAATCAAGATTTTGTTGACCTGCAAACAAGCAATCAGAAGATTTTTAGATCCCCATAACATTCATACTTCTGATCCCTTTTGATTTCTTCTTTCTAATGCTTTCTAATTCATCTGATTTTAAAAATTTTGAACTTGTACATCTCAAGTATGCTACATGTTCTTTTGGACTTGTTTTTCTAATGTAAATTTGCTAGATTTGGTGGGATGTGGAATTCATTTACATTCCAATCTTGTGTTTTGAGTCCAAAATTGAAATACAGTGATTTCAATGGAAATCCCATGTATTAGGATATTTTTGTAATAACGTTTTAACAAATGTTCAAAATATTTGTTTTATAATCATCAATTGATAAAAGGCGATTTAATTATTCTTAATTTATCTATGCTATATTATAATGCATTTGGCTAAAACTCTTAAAAACTCTTAAACTCTTAAACTCTTAA